TCGGCGTGTGGCCCCCGGCAGGTCCTGCCACCAGCTGGGCCAAAACCGTGGCCAGGCCAGCCCGGCGCTGGGCTGAGGGGTGGCACAGCAGGAGTGCTCTGCTTCGGAGGGGAGGGCAATGCCAAAGTGGTTTTATTTAACAAAAAACCCCAACCCAAACACAAACAACAACAACAAAAAAAAATCCAAACTAGTGAACAGGTTGCAGCTAGTAAAAGTTCTGTCAATAAATTTAAGACTATAATGTCAAAAACCCCCAAACATCCCAGGAGACAAGAGTGAATGCAGCTCCCCATGCTGACACGCAGGGCACTAATGCCGGCGTTGCAGCTCCTGGCAACGCTGTCCCTGGCAAAGGTGCATTTTTTTTGGCCAATGATGTGCCCATTTAGCAAACCTGCAGCTGCTGGGGGGGCCCCAAGGACGCCATCGCCAATTGGCTGGGGGGGCCCTGAGGCAAATATGGCTGCAGGTCCAACACACCATGATGCACCCCGGTGCATCTTCTGCTTCTCCTGCACGTGGCACAGCCAGTCCTGCAGGCACTGCAGCACAGACACCACACACACACCCCCACACACACCCCGCCATGGCCCTCCTGGTCTCCCCAAATCTCAGCCCTGGCCACAGCTCCCCAGCCTGCCCCCCCAGAGGGACACCTCCCGACCCCTGCGCTGCACGGGGCTGGACATATGGTTTCCATTTGGTCTTTATTCGCTCACAGAATACCACGCCGGCAGCACCATGAGGCTTCACAGCTGTGCAGGGCGCAAAGCCGGTGGCCGATCACCCTCCTCCTGCTCCGCTGGCTGCCAGGGGCGCAGGGGCTTTAGGTTTACTGTGTTGCACGCTGAAGGCTTGCAGAGAGCGCCGTTGGCCGATCACCCTCCTCCTGCCCCGCTGGCTGCAAGGGTCGCAGGGGCTTTAGGTTTACTGTGTTGCACGCTGAAGGCTTGCAGAGAGCAGGGGATTTCCTCACATACCTTCGGACCGCAGGGCTATAGGGCAGGGCGGCAGCTCAGCCCAGCCAGCGCTGAAGCCAGCATTCCCTCTACGCTGCCGTTTGCTGCAGGGGGCAGCCAGACCTACGAACCCCAACCTCTTCCCACCTGCATGCCAACATTCACAGTACAATGCTGGTAATTAGAAAACAGATAATGTCCTTCTGTTCGTTATCGCTCCAAGGAACCTTCTGCCTCTTGGAGTTCTTTCCCCAGCAGCCCTAGGAAGGGCTCAGCCTTTTTTTCCCCCGGCCCGGCCAGAACCCTGCCGGTACAAGAGCAGAGTGTGACAAGCATCCCAGGACCTGCAGCTCCAGCCCAGGTAACCATGAGCTCAGCACGTCCCACCAGCGCTTCACCTGCGACCCAACACTCGCTGGAGGCAGGGGAGCAGCAAACCCCCCCCGGATCGCTGCATCAGCCACTGGCTATTGCTGCACGAAGGCTGCACAGGTAGTCCCTGCTTGCGGTGCCATAGCCCAGGAGGACGGTGTGGTTGGTTTGGGGTACGTACGAAGAGAAAGTATGGCCTCTTCCTTACCTGAGGAGAGTGCAAACGACTGAGATATGGGCAATGCAGAGCTGGGTTTGGACGTTAGAGGTAGCAGTGGTTGGGAGCGAGGGTTACAGAAGGCACTTTTGGTTAGCTGGGGTCTGCTGCAGTGGGCTTCTGCACAGCCCGGCCTCAGCTCTGCCCCGGCAGGGATGGAGGGGACAAACCCACCACTTTCAAGAAGGCATTTTCCTCATCAGGGCTATGGCTAGGCTGATTTCAAAAAGGGACATTTTATGTATACATACGTGATAGCCAACTCTGGCCTCCGCTGCCTGTTGAGGCCTTTGCTGACCCACCCTGCCCACGCAGCCGTCCCACAGGCAGGACAATCCACACTGCCCACCCAGCAACCCACCGGAGGCAGGTCTCTGCCCAGCCGAGGACACGTGGCGCAGCGTGCTGCTACGGGTGTCACCACCCTGCCAGCTCTCACCGGCCACTTCACACGCCAAGCCCTCTGTGCAAAACTGCTGAGCAAACACAAATACACTGGGAGTCGGTGTTGGGCTGGGGGCCTCGGGCCATGCCTGACCCTGCAAGCAGGGCAGGACGCTGTGGACAAGGGAACAAGTGCTGCCACAGCCTCGCTAATGGCTCTGGACACGCTCTAGTCTGGTCCTGTGGATCAAACCATTTCAGCAATGCCCGCTTGCGTTGGGTGGCAAGGTTTCGGTAGCAGGGGGCTGCAGGGGTGGCCTCTGTGAGAAGACACCGGGAGCTATCCCCATGTCAGGCAGAGACAGTCCCAGCCAGCTCCAAGAGGGACGAGCCACTGGCCAAGGCTGAGCCCACCAGTGACGGGATGATGCCTCTGGGATAACACAGCTAAGGAGGGGAAAAAATCCACTGCACAACAGCAGCCAGGGAGAGGGGGGAGAGGATGGGAGAAACAACCACACAGACACCAAGGTTGTGAATGAGGGAGGAAGTACAAAAAGCCAGGAGTAAGGTTGAGCCTGGGATGGGAGGGGTGAGAGGAAGGTAGTTTTGGATTTGTTCTTACTCATTATCCTGCTCGGTTCTATTGGCAATACATTAATTTCCCCAAGCCGAGTCTGTTTTGCCTGTGAAAGTAACTGGTACGTGACCTCCCTGCCCTTACCTCAACCCACAAGCTTTCTGTTGTATTTTCTCCTGTCCCGTTGATGGGGGGGGAGTGACAGAGCAGCCTGGTGGCACCTGGCCAAGGTCAAACCCCCCTTTAACCAAACCACAGGTCACTGCTGGTGTTGGCCGGACTGTAGGCTCTCTGCCCCTGTTCCCATCAAGCAGTGTGTTCGAGAATGCCCACAGCCACTGTCATGAAAGTGCAAACGCTCCCACTGCATTAACCCATACAACGCTTCTCTTTAGGGCTAAAGACCTTGCTGGCATCTAATGAACATGCAGATTGTGCAATTTATTGCAGAGCAAGACTGCAACACAACCAGGTACGACACGGCCTTAATTCTCATCCCAGCTCTGCAAAAGGCCCAGCCCCAAGTGGCATCAGGAACCACTTGTGAAGGAGAGCAGCTAAAAGCCTGCAGCGGTCGCCAGCGCTAACCAGCCATCCTGCGCAGCCCTCCTCAAATAGCAGCATCCAACCAAGGGATGTGGTTGAAACACCTTTATTACTGCAGGTTTTTTATGTTTGTTTTCAATGCTTTAACAAGCTTCCTCATGTTAAAAGGGCATAGTTACTCCAACACGACAGATTGGGGCAGCTCAAGTTGCCCAAGTCACATGTAGAAGGTATAAATTAAAGCAAACTTAAGGGGAATGCACAGCACTGAAGGTCTGCCACAGTTTCATGGCAGCTTTCTGCTTGTTCTGCCTCAACCCACCACAGCAATACCAGTTACACAGTAGTTAATACCAATTCATGTACATCTCTATTTCTGGGTACTTTGTTTCACCTCTCCTATATTTTATGCAAAGTCCTTGAAGGTAGTGTGTACTCCCTGAGTTTTGGTAATTACACAACAGATCTGATACAGAATTTCAGCTCATGGAGCCAAAACGCGAGCATGCCATGTCCCCTGGGTCGCTGGATCAGTCCTGCAGGTGCGGAAGTGTCTCGGCTGACACAAGAGGTTTCCTGTCACATCACCCTGAACTGAAATGCTTAAATGCAGACTGCAAGACAGAGCAGCTCGTCTGTGAAGTCAAGCTCAAGAATATTCCCATTACTACTGATAAAGACTTTATAATAACTTTATTAAAAACATATTAGCTCGGATTTTGCCAAAATAATTTACACAGTAGAAGTGTCCCGCACAGAGAGAAATGATGCAACTCTGCCTGGTGTCTGGGGTATTTCACAGGACAGTTTCCCACACTTTAGTGTGAGATCTGATACGTGCCTGCTACAGGTACATACGGCTGTTGCACCCCATCTCCATCAGCTTACTGTGTCTTAAATGCGCACACCACTCTGCTGAGAGGGTACCACAAAACAAGGCTCTGCTTCTTGCCCAGTAAGACTCCTTCCCCTGCTAGGCACTACTGAAAAGCCTGGCTAACTTAAAAGGGCTCTTTACAACCAAGAGCCACTGTACCACTGAAGACATAAAGAGCACAGGGACTCCCCTCACCCCCCCAAAAAAAAAAAAAAATTAAAGGCAGTGGTTTGTGATCAGCACATGAAGACAAAAGCACCCGATGAGCAGGGAGCCTGCTCATGTCCACTGGCTGACACCGACCCTGCTAAGAGGGAGCTTTGTTCCCAGCCTCCCTCCACAACAGGCTAGATTGGCTACTGTCACTATCAATCTCCTTCCGCAGCAATGGCAGTGCAGACAGCCTACGATTTATCTTTCCACGCTGTCTTATTTAACAGTACTTTTCCCCTGCAAACAAGTTCTCACTCTTGGCAGTTTATCAAACGTGTTCCTTGGGTGTTCGGTCTTTAGAGTCCACATGGAAAGCCTGCAACAGGCCAGGATAAGAGCACACTGCCAGCTGTGCATCCAGCTTCCACAGGGAACAGCGGCCTGGGCAGAGTGCAGCTGGCGGTGGACACCGAGGACAGCTGTGCTGGACTCCAACAGCCAGCATGACTTCTCTTCCATATAAAAAATAGTTCTAAAAACCCCCTTTCCCTTGAGAAATAGTTTGGCTCAGCCCAACATGGACACACCAGAGCTGGTGACAGGGAAAGCGTCCGTAAATGAGTGTCCTGTGCTACAGATTTCATCTCATGCCAGCCTTCCCTGAGGGAGATGCTCTTCATCCTTAGGCACAGAGGGACTCACCAGCTGTGGGCTGGGCCTCAGTCTCTTTGGGAGCTCATCATGAACCAGCCAGAGCACTCCTTGCACTTCCACTCTCCTCAGGGAATGTACTTCCTTTCTGCTGCCAGGCCAGAGTGTTTCAACGATGCAGAGATGACAACACACCCAGGCACTGCTATGGCTGTCCCTGCTCACAGTCACTTCTTGCTTCACTCCAAGGATGAGTCTTCCTTTCCAAGAAGCTCATCACCAAGTCCCCCCATCTTCTTAATGCAGTGCAATATTACTAGGCGAAAGACTTAACCATGCTTACCATATGGTCAACTCCACACGCAACATCCACCACCTCACCGGGTACAGTCACCTGGATCAGACACACAAGAGCGAATTATTTCTCAGGCTGGTACTTTGCACCTGATATTTCCTATTTTTCATCCTCCTTCTGCTTAACATGCCAGTCGGTTTCACAGGGACTTGTACCAACGAAAGTGCATCTTGAAAACCCAGAGAAAGCAAAATTCAGCACCAGACATGCTTATGCATCGAGCTGTGAAACATTCCCCTTCTCCCTTCATAGGAGCACATAAACCTTTGGAAGGACAGAGAGAGAGGTGTCTCACTAGCAGACAGCAAGGAGACTGTCGCCTCAGCCCATCTGTTTAGCAGCAGAAACAGCTCGACTGAGCAGAGTGTACTCCAGACAGCAGGAAGAGGATCTGCCCAAGTGCCACAAGGATTTGCCTCTTCTCTCATCAGCAAGGGCTGGAACGAGGCAAAAGCTCAACTCAGCCTAAGGCAGTTTTGGCTTTGATGCTGAGCAGACCCAGCTCACTCACTAGTGCAGCTATAGCTCTTCCACTTCAAACTTGACTTCAAACTCAAGGAAAGCAGGGGCTACAATGCAAGTTTTTCCTTAGAGCTAAGGGAGAGGAAAGATTGTTAGTTCTAGGGCAGGAGGTCACAGACGAGTACCCTCGTAACTGCCCTTGTTTTGGTGCATTGCTGTAGTACCGTTGGCTGTTTGAGGGAGCACAACCCTCTGTGTTCCCACTTAGGGAAACCTGGGCATACCATGCTTGGCGAATTCAGACTCCACTCAGCCACAGCAGTGTGATTTTAGGCAAATGCTCCAGAGCTGGCCTTTTTCTGTTCCTTTTTAAAAGGAGGAGAAAGAATGCCAAAAAAACACATCCCCTGCAAGTTCAGACACATGGAAAAGGACTCCAGGGTGGTCCAACTGATTGCCTCCCTCCTCTCCTACTTGGCCTTCATGGAGACTGGGAACATCTGTTAAGCTGAGTGCTGAACTCCAGAGCCAAAGACTCTTCTACACCCTCAGAGTCTGGCTCTCAAAGCCATCTGAGAGAAGGGAGTGGAACTGGAAGCATTGCGAAACAGCTATGAAAACAGTTCAGTGGTTGAGAATCTCCTACTGTGACTACACAGGCAGTCCGGTGACCCATCGCTATAGCTGCCTGATGTGGAAGAAGAGCGGGGGAAGGGAGCCCGCTGCTACGTGGGCCTGCTGCCACTACAGTCTGACCACTGTGACCAAAACATTCACCTAATTTAGATATGTAATGCAAGTCTTTTGCGTCACAGATGACCAATACTACTGGTTTTCTTTGCAGCACATAAAAAAGTGAAGTGCAGGTTACAAGGGGAGGCAGTTAAGGGGCAGCAGGCAGAAGACTGTGGACAGGAGGAAGATAAGAACCGTTCAGAAGTGATGGTACAGCACCAGATTTAGCTTTGGGATCTGAAATCTATACCGAAATAGCAGAACCAGAAGACTCAAAAATTACTGAATACCTCCCCCCTAAGCAGGCTAGGCAAGGATCTGTGGAAAACAAAGTAGTTCTACCGTCATCTTAGGTTTCCACTTCTTTCAAAATTACTCAACAAAACTACACAAGTGATGTTTCTTGCCCTCAGGATAACAAAGACTTAGCTGAAGAGTATGCTCTTGGCCTTAATACTACCATCCTTACCCTCCATGGGAAATACTGGTCTTCCATTCTTCCAGTTCCCAGGCACCCTCTTAGATTCTTGCCCCATACAAACAGTTCTCCTCTGTCTACACAGGGAAAAAAAGAATAAAAAGAATAAAATAGGGCAGAGCCATTAAAAAGGAAGAATTCTATTTGTGATGCTGGCAAGTGTGGCTACAATGCTTCTGGGAGTATAAAGGGTTATACATGCAGTATGAAAGCCATCAAGTTTAGTTCCAAGTACACTAAATGTACTTGTGCTTGGGGAAAATGATGCCTAATGAGCAGGACAAGCAGCAAGTTCTGGGCACAAGTCTTTGCTTCCCCCTCTTACAGCTCTTGCTTTGGAATTTTATTTGAAGAAAGATTGTAGCAGAAGAGATTCCAGGGAATCATTTGTGGTAAAGTGAATCATTTGTGCTGGAAGTTAGACAATTACAGCTGACCCACATCAGCTATCAGCACAGCAAATCAGGTAAGCAAGGCAGTGAAATCTGTCCCAAGCCGTCACCTGGGACTGGTTATTGGGCTGCCTGACACAAGTGACCTGCTAATGGCAACTGGGGAAAAGAAAAAACTTGCGTTCAACAGAGCTGCAGAATTTTAAGCTCCTCAGCAAAACAGGTATATCTCAGAAGTGTGCAGATCAGCCCCACAGCAGGAACAACCAAAACGTGATCTATAACGTAAGTACAATTTAATCAGAATGCAGTTTCTACAGCTTCCTGAATACCAGGGGAAGACCAGTTCCAAGCACCCCGTAACCTGACAGTGACATGCATACCCCTTCCCCAAGAAGGGCCAAGCAGTTAGCACATGGCACTTTGCATTACTAAACTGTCACTTTCACTACCAAGTACACGGGTTTTCTGTGCTGCTGCCCTCTGCTGCCCATTTTACAATGATTTTCAAATTCAAAACTTCCTTTAAAGGCTGGTATCAAGTACATGGTGTACATACCAGCATGTTAAACATGTAGGTCTTCCCTCCTCAGATTGCTAACTCAATTGGTCAGAAGAGCCAAGATACCCCGACATCTAGCTCTGATTTAGATTCAGGTTTAGTTTGTTCATTTACCACAAATGCCTGCTGCTTCTAAAGTGCAACTGACTGACATTCCGTACAAGGAAATGAAAAAATCTTTCCAGGTTTCCTGTTTGAGGTAATTTTTTTTGTTTGGCTTAGAAGAATAACACTTTCTTAATTACAGCATAAGTTAGTGCAGTACCTATGTTAGAAACCATGCTGACACCTGTAAACCTGCTGCCCACCCCTCCTGTTGCATTCCAGTGTGCTTTAAGTTTAAAGAAAGACTGGCGCTTTTTTGGCTTTCCTTTTAACTGCCAATAATATGGCAATGTGACTTCTCCACTGCAGTAGGATTAGAAACTTACTTGTAAGTGCTGCAAAGTGGCTGAGTCCACAGCGAACGTGAGCAACACGGATGTCCGGACTGAAGTCTGACCAGCCAAAAAGGCTGGGTGGGATCATCTCTGGCACTGCTGTCTCTATTAGGTTTGGTCCTTTCCCAAGAATTCCGTATCCCCAGACAAAAACATTTCCTTCTTCTGTATTACAATAAGAACACATTCTGTAAGAAAGTCTGTGCTTGTGAAATTCATGCCACGACCAAGAGTTAAGCAGATCCAAACGGATATTTTCTTTTCTCCCAGAGCAGTCTAGCACCTTTTGATTATTTAAAAGTAGCAAACAACACATTCCCATTCGAATGCCTTAATTTCTTCCTATGCTGTGCAAGTGGATCAAGCTTCACAGGCAAAACCTTCACAGGGAAAAAATGCCACCACAGCATGGGCTAGATAAAATACTTCAGCTCGCTGACTGATGGGGTAGAGGCTGAATGTTTTACTATCACCACTTTTTTTTCCTTTGAGGGATAGCCAAACCAGTGGTAGGCCAGTTGCTTTGTCTGGTATTCTGCCTTAAGCTGGGTGCCTGGGAAAGGCAGCAGTTGGACAGCATAAGACAGAGTAAGTTGCTATGTCTGCTAGCTCTGCTCCCTTCACATTAGAAGCTCAAATGTATTGTCATCACAGCAACCACATCATATACATGAACATCTTCCTTGAGATGATCCTTCATAAAAGCAGTGCAATCCTTTCCCTCACCCCTTTATTCTGTGACTTCCAAGCTGTGTTCCCCTGGCCACTGCCAATCCAAAGCAGCATTCACTAAGAAGCCTGCTGCAGAGTTTCACTGTTCTCAGAACTCTCTAATTTCCAGCCTAGTTTATCAAGATTTATTTATATGTCAGATTTATACTGAGAGAAAGAAGAGCCCTACAGACTCAAGTGTTGCCTTACTTCCTCCCTATATCCATCTTCATTACAGGCCACACAGGGGCTGTGTGATCAACAAAAAAGGGATCAGAACAGCAAGCAGCAACCGTGGTCTTGTAACAGTTTGCATAAGTGCTCACAACAGCACATACTGGAAGCAATGCTCTGCTGCTAGTGAAAATAACTCCGCTAGTATATTCTTAAATCACACGTTTCTCAGTCTCCCAGCTTTCCTTGTAACAGATAATACTTCCCTGTTTCCAGTGAACAAGATGCTTGCTCCATGATGTTACAATCCACCTACTGCATGGCCTTGCACTAAGGAGAACAGTTGTCAAAGCAAACTCACCTGTTAGCACAATATTGCCAGTGCCTCCACATGCAGCCTCCTTTATCTTCCCAATTTTGAATGGCAAATGTCTGGGAACGTTCACCTGTATGAGGTTGCAAGAGAGTCATTAGAGACAAGGTAATAAACTGCAAACTAGACACATTTTTAACTTGTTTCCTAGTTCTGGTGAGAGCTTACATACACTGAATTCCTGATACGGACAACCTTTATTGCCTGAATAATAGAATGAATCCAAGTCCCAAGATTAAAAAACTACATGAAATTCATTAAGGCTGAGAGTGCGGACAAAATGGAAATAGTTACCCACTGGAAAGCTTACACGCATGGCAACAAAGCTGGGAATGCTTATATCCCTGGCTCTGTAAGTCAGACACAATGGGAAAGACAATAGGTGAGCACACTTACCAGTTTTCACAATGGAAATTTGGTCTGCAGTGGCATTTTTGAACACACCAGGGAAAAATCACTCAAAGAAAATCACTCTTATTTGATACAATTCAATACAACAAACCTACGCGGCTTGACGCGTATAAACAGTTACACTTCACAGATAATATCCAGCTCTGCTGTTCCACAATTTGAACCTTATCTATATTGTACCTAAAACTCCTGCTTTGGCAAATGTGCCATTCATCCATTTCAGACCCCTCTGACCTCCATCGAGCACCCAGCCAGGAAACTACTACACTACCTACCCTGGTCATTGTCTTCAGGCCTTACAGGTCTCAGTAATTAGCGCTACATTAAGGATACCTCAGGAGAGGCAAGGGAAACAAAAGTACGCATTTTATTAAAGTCATACTAATGCAATTGTCTGCTCTTAGCCTTCTGCCAATAATAGCTTGAGTATTAATTAATTGCCTGACTCCATTTCCTACACTAACTGGAAGAGGAGACCATCTGCCTAATTACCTCAGTACTACAATGCTTTGTGTCAAGTCAGCACCACATTTTTGCCCCATATAAGTTTGCTCCAAAAAACCTTTTATCTGTGAGACACTGGGATTTGTTTAGGACTCAGCTATAAACCTACTAAGGTTGTTCGTGAAAAATTCACCAACATACAGGTTGACTGGACGGGACTTCCAGTGGTCGTCTGGACCAACACCAGGCTCAAAGCAGAACCGCTCAAATTTCTACATTAACCAGCCAAGAGACTAATTCCTATCCTGAAACCAGCACTCGAGCTGGATCTCAATTTGGTGCAAAGTTCATGGGATGGGGAAAGGAGAGCAGGGGGTGTAATCTGCCTTCATAACAAACTGAGGTGAGGTGACACAACCTTTTGCCTATCAACAGCTGGGAAACATGCTGGCCTACAGCTATACAAACATTTCAGACAGATTGGATTTGTAAGCATAGGTAAAACCAGTCTGCTAGTGGGGTTAGTTTATATTGATTTAAAACCAGCTTGCTAGTGGGGCTAGTTTATATTGATTTATACTGCTGTCAAAAGAACCCTGAGCAGGGAGAAGCATGTAATTTTTAACTCTGTGCACAGCAGCGGAACTGAAACATGTAAAAACATGCCCCCAGGCCAACTGACCTGTGTGGTTTCTGTGACAGATGCCAACTGCAAGTATTCTGAATTTCCCCAACCAAAGACATCTCCTTCATCTGAAACAGCCAGGCAACAGTCCCCATAGGAAGAGACCTGGATGATGTTTACTCCAGCAATGTCACCATGTAGCTTAGTAGGAACACTGGTGATGTTGTAGTGTCCAAGACCTGAAAGGAAAAAAGCAGAGAGGTGATGAAGAGGGTTTTTTGCAGACATACTTTTAACACCTACATAGGACCATTTTGTCATGTTATAACCCAATTACCCTCCCTCCAAGATAAATCTTTCTGTCCATATCTCTTAACTACCAGCTTCAATGGACAAGCAGCCACAAACACCAGTTCTACTACCCAAAGCTCCCTCTCTAGAGTACAAAACAACTTCATACAATCACACCTGGAAAACAGTCTAGGCCCTCATCTCTCATCTGCAGGGACCAAAGTGTTTGAGAGAGCAGTAACCAAGCTAGGTGGATATCCTGACAGACAAGAAGTTTCCCAAACCAGCCGCATCCTGTCTTCTGCAAGGAGAGCCAGGAGTGACAGCACACTGCAATCCGTTTAGACAACAGGAGGTGAAGCAGCAAAAGAGGCTGGGAAGCAAACATGTTACATGTCAAATAGCTGCCCGGACAAGAGGCCAGAATGTAGATGACAAATGAGATGGGCTACAGTATGTCCACACAAGAGGATCAAGGACAGAGCCCAGCTTCAGGAGCAACAGGACTAAACAGTAGGAAGGACTGGAAGTCCTCTGACAGCAGGAGCCACCAAAAAAAAGGGGCTGGCCAAAGATCCCATGCTAAGACAGCAGTAGCTGCCAATGGTCTCTGTCAGTACAAAAGGAGCAAGAAGCAAAACAGACCCTGAAATGAGAATCAGGAAGGCAAAGCCTGCACAGAACTGGGAAGCTAACCTTCCCCTGCATCGAGGTTTAACCCCGGCCAGCAACCACGCTCCACACAGCCACTTGCTCACTCCTACCCCCACGGGATGGAGGAGAGAATCTGAAAAGTGAGAAAACTCACAGGCTGAGATAAAGACAGTTTAATAGGTAAAGCAAAAGGCGCATGCACAAGCAAAGCAAACCAAGGAATTCATTCCCCACTTCCCATGGGCAGGCAGGTGTTCAGCCATCCCTAGGAAAGCAGGGCTCCATCACATGTAAAGGTTACTTTGGAAGACAAAAAAGTCATCGCTCTGAACATCCCCCCCTTCCTCTTCTTTCCCCCAGCTTTATATGCCATATGGTATGGAATGTCACTGGGGTCAGCTGTCCCGGTTGTGTGTCCCCTCCCAACCCCTTGTGCACCCCCAGCTACTCACTGGTGGGGTGGGATGAGGAGCAGAAAAGCCCTTGGCTCCACATAAGCACTGCTCAGCAGGAACAAAAACATCCCTGTGTCATCAACGCTGTTTCCAGCCCAAACCCAAAGCACAGCCCTGTACTAGCTACTATGAAGAAAATGAACTCTATCCCAGCCAAAACCAGCACGCCATGCCACTTCCACATTCCTTCACAAGCTTCAAACAGTAGACATGTTCTCCTCAGATCGCATGCTTGGATCACCAGCGTGGCATCCTAAGGCTCCTCTAAAAATGAACTGATTTGTCTCTTGGTTACACAAGAGTACTGAGAACATCTGCACACAGCTGGAAACATACCAGCCCCTTTCTGTCCATACACGCATGACAAATATACATCACAAGCTCTGAATTAGGGCAGCTTGCTCTATTCATCAATTCACTGAAATGCAAGCTGAGCTGAGCTCCTACCTGTTTGTCCATCAGCTCCCCATCCACATGCATAGACTGCACCCTTCTTGGTTCTAAACAGACTGTGGTCCTGCCCACACACAACCTGCACACAAACAAAAAGTCAGAGCTGGTCAGGAAAGGCCACGTGTTCAGAATCGATTTAACAAAGCGTTACTGGCAGACAAACTGAGCAATGAACCTCTACAATGCCCATCCGCTCAGATTTTCACCTTTCTCTCCAGATCAAATGGCTCTACAGGCAGGAAAAGCTAAGAACAGCACAATACAGCAAAGAAAACAGCATTTTCTTTGTGGAAAGTGATGCTGCAGTTGATTTGTTCTGAGATCCAAAACAAGGCCTAGTTAACAGAAAGCTCAATTCAGCAGTACAACACAACAAAACAGCAAAGAGTAAATAAGAGATCTCCCTTCCCAGAGTGCTACCACATGGCTCTCAGTGCCAGCTACAAACTGCTATTGATTCCTTGCCATGTAAGCGCTCTAGGAACACATCTGTTCTCAAATTGACATTTCTGTTGAACTAGCAATCATGTCTGCCACAGGCCTAGCATGAATTAAAGCCAAGATCTTCAAAAGCAGACATTAAAAATTAGCCAAAGATTAAAGCAATCCACAAGTTGAGATTGACTACTGAGAATATTAAGCACATAACCACTCTCATCAAAAGTACAAGCAGGTACCAATTACTCAAACCCCTTGAAAAAAATAAAATAACGAAAAATCCAAACAGAAGTTTACAAGCCTAATTCAAACTGTCATTAGAATATACCACGGCACACCCTCATCATGTGAGCCTAAATGAATGACCCTTGCTTTCCAGGATGCTGCATGGAACAGGAGCAATGTTTGCCCACAGAGTACTGCTACAGTGGCACAGACATGCTAGTCAACTGCTCCTGCGCCTGCAAATACTGCAGCCGAGTGCAGACTCGGTGGCATTTATGCTGCTCTGCAGTCCCTTGCTCTCCTAGAAACCTGCCCTATGGAAATGCTGGCTAGTCTAAGTGGATGGTCTCACAGCTCACTTTTGAAAAGGGGAAGACAAAATTCAAAATAAAACAGTTCAATTGACATAAAAGTGCCAAAGGGGAACAAGAGCAAGAAATCAGGACAGAAAGAGATGAAGCATTGAAACAACTTCCTTGCCATGCAGGTGTTACCTAGAATTCGAGCAAGCAAACACTGCATTGGCATTCCCATCAAATTCTTCAGTAAGTTCCGACCCTGCATTGCCAGTTGCAACTGCTCTGCAGAGGCATGGAACAAAGTATCACCTTGTGCTTTTTATAAGCAACCATATAGTAAATCGCTTCATCATTTTAAAGAGCTTCAACGGAATGATTTGCATACTGAGTTTTTAATTTTTTTTTCACTACAGAATCACAGACTGGTCGAGGTTGGAAGGGACCTCTGAAGGTCATCTGGTCCAAACACCCAGCTCAAGCAGGGCCATGTCCAGATGGCTTTTGAGTATCTCCAAGGAGGGAGACTCCACAATGTCTCTGGACAACCCATGCAGTGCTCAGTCACGGTAAAAAAGCATTTCCTAATGTTCTGAGGGAACCTTGTGTGTTTCAGTTTGTGCCTGTTGCCTCTTGTCCCGTCACTGGGCACCATTGAAAAGAGTCCGGCTTCATCTTCTCTGCACCTTCCCTTCAGGTATTTACATACATTGCCAAGACACACACCCCAGCCTTCTCCTTCCCAGGCTAAACAATCCCAGCTCTCTCAGCATTTCCTCACAGGCAAGGTGCTCCAGTCCCTTCATCACCTTAATGGCCCTTTGTTGGACTCCCTCCAGTACATCCACGTCTCTCTTGCACTGGGGAGCCCAGAAACGGACATAACACTCCAAGTGCTGAGGAGAAGGGAAGGACCACCTCCTTTGATCTGCTACCAACAGCCCAGGATACCATTTGCCTTCTTTACAGCGAGGGCCTGCTGCTGGCTCTCAGTCAACCTGGTGTCCCAGTTTTATGTCATCTGCAAACCTGATGAGGGGACACTCTGCCCCATCATCCAGATCATTAGTGAAGACGTTAAACAGGATCAGACCCAGTATTGACCCCTCGGGTGCACCACTAGTTACCGGCATTCAACTAGTCTTCCTTCATGCCACTGATTACCATCCTCTGGCTATTCAGCCAGTTTTCAATCCACCTTCAGAATTCGATCCACAAGGTTCTCTTACCTGGACAACTCTGCTGTCAAACTCCTTCAGCTGATGAATCAGATGGCTTTCACTGGACACCATCAAACAACCACCGAGAAGAGAAAAGGCAACACAGAGGATTTCAGAGGATTGCAGCTGAAAAATGGGAAGGTCGACCTGCCTTTACTGAAAACCACTTTGCTATTACAAGAAGACAGAGTCTTTCATGTATTCTCTTATATAGTCAAAAGAGCACAGATCCAGTAAAGTAAAATTACGGTGCAAAGAAGGAAAGTAATTTTACATTCTCTTTTTTAAGAAGTTAAGAACTGTCACTTTTTAAATATAACCTCTATGGGAATTGGGAGTGGCAGCAGTCCCCAAACACGTTCCCTAGTCTGGAATGAGACACTAGATAATACTGCAGCACCTATATAAACACTACGCTTAACTAGAGATTAACCAGACTTAAATCCCAGAGCACAGGGTAGTGTTAACATCCATTTAATTCTTTCACAAAAACAGGAATTCTGAACAATCCAAAGACTAACTTGAGTATCAATGCTAAAAAAAAAAAAACAAGCTAAATTACAGGTATTTTCTTAAACTCTACAGGCCAAGTCTTGTGGATCAGAGAGCAATCAGCAAGATCTCTTCTAGGCTCCGCCAAGGAATCAGTAACTTTCAACATATTCCCACTATCCACTTACATCACTATCATCGTATAGAGCATTTTGAGAATATGCTTTGCTGCGGCCCACAGAAATCCTGTAAAGGAAAAGCACTACAGGTTCAAAGGCAGTACAGCAAAGAGATTTGACAAAAGGATGCCTCTTCCATCATTAAATGGCATTTCTAACACCCTCAGAAATGGCGCTTGCACTCTGAGAGGCTAAAGGGAGAAAGACCAACTGCTAACGCCAATTACCTCAGGCTATTTAAGAAGGTTGAGTTTTCTCACTCTGCCCTGCAACAACTTGTCACCTGCTGACATCTTTCTGTCTTATGTGAATGTGGTCAAAAGAGTGCTTGCACCTAGCCTAGGTTTAAAGCCAGGCCGTGTATATGATGCCTGCAGCATAAGAGTCTGTTCTCAGACACCTTAATCTCAAATGGCATCTTTATACTACCAGATTTTTCCCACCTCCAGGCTCTTCTGCAGGGTTGTTTTCATGCAATTATCTTTTTAACACTAAGGAAGTTCAGGATCTTTGGATTCTCACCTGTAAGTTTCATCTTCAATAACCTTCCGGCCACACTGTCCATAAGAATTGTTCCCCATGGTGAAAACTGAGAAGCAATGATAAAAAGCACTAGTTTTATTACTGTCCAATCCCGTGAAAGCCTCTTTTCAGGTAAACAAAATATTTTCACATGCTCCTCAGTATGAAAAGTGAAACACAGTATACTGTAAAAATTGGCATAAGCTTTCTTCAAACCTAGTCCACTTGAATTTAAGTGACTGAATCCATTTTCATCAACAATATCCCAGTGATATTGTTGCAGGCACAGCAGCAGTACCTAGAGCCTATTGGCTGTTTTTCAGTAATTGCCTAGTTCATCCTGCCGTTGCCAAGGAGACTCAGAAATAGATCAGCGCTCCCACAGGAGCGTTAAATCAACAACCAACCAGCTCACCCACTGATAAGCAGCACTGGATCGCTCAGCGCAGCACTGAAGCCACTGCACCAGAGAATTCCCAGAGATGTGGAGAGCCAATTCACACACAGGATCTTCTGTATAAAGGCCTATTAATTAATTGCTTTTTATAAATGTTGCACTCTGGGGCGACAAGGGGAAAGTAACACAGGAGTATTGGCATAGTCATCCAAAACCAAATTCAAAACCACGTCTGACTGAACAAGACAAATACGCTACACTTGAAAGAGGCCTGGGGCTAGATAAACAAATCATATTTTGCAACACTTGTAGTGCAAAAGCTTCCAACACATTTACAGCTTGAGCCAGGCAGAGCTCAATGCACGGTTATCAGCTGAGGGCTCTCTCTCCGGGTGTCAATCCCACAGCTACCTGCATCACATCTGCAGTGCAGAGAGCCCATCTGGGGTCTAGCTCTGAAGGACAGAAGTCAATCTTTTCCAGAGCTTTTAATGAAAGCACAGTTAGGTGTTCCTTGTCACCAGCACAAGCGGTACTATACCTCCTTCACTATCTGTCAGGATCAGGGAATGGGCTCTCCCACAGGACACCTGCAAGACTCGAGTCTGCTGCGGCTTCTCCAGTGGTAATGGAATTGGAGATGGTTCCAAGACATATTCATAGCCCTTAGCTTAAGGAAGAGAGAGAAATTTAAAAAGTCAGTGGCTTCCACAGAGCAAATTCATCACATATTTGCCGATTCTGTTGTACATACACTCACTTCTATTTTGTTACAAAAGCAGATATATTTTAGAAAGCCAAGATACTAACCACAGTAAAAGGGTGACTGGGATTCATGATGGGGGGGAAGAAGTTAAAATCCATAGGGATGGTTAAAGCCAATAATCACTGCCTAATCAAAATTCCACCATACCTAGAACCTGAATGTTATTAAGGCTTCAGGTGGCCAGAACTGAGAAACGGAGGCTTTCAGCCATATGTTCAACCACTTTGGTGAATAAGGCCGGATTATTACAGAGCTTAACACCAAGCACAAACTAAGTACTCTGTGCAACTGGGGATATTGCAAACAAGGTACAATAGCAGCAATCACAAAAAAAAGTACGAAAGGTGAATAAAAAAATCTTAGGGCTTCGTATTTAAAGAACAGTAGATTAAAGGCCCTTTCAGAAAAAAGGAACACAAGAAACATTAACGAGCCTGGCTCCATGGGGGACAAGAGATCTGACGCTTACGAAAGAAAATGACAGGCTGTACTAGAAAAAGAAGATTTAGTAACTTGAAGAATATGTAATCAGTCATGGTCAACTGGGGGAAAAAAAAAAAGAAGGAGTAGCAAAACATAAATCAGAACTAGGGAAAAGGTTAAGGGGAGATAAAAAGCTTTGATATCAAAGAAAGCTGCTGTAACATGTTAAATCAAATCCTAGAGGACCCAAAGCAGCATTCTGCTCACATATAGCAGTGCTTGAACTAGTTCTCACTGCCTTCAATTAAAAAAACCAAACCAAAACAGAAATTCTACACATACCCTTTCACAGTAAGACACTACTTGATGCTATGACAGGCATCACAACGGGCTGCTCCCAAATGGTGGGAGCCTGCCATGCAACGTAGCAGGAACTGAAAGGCAGCAAAGTTTGTGTCTGTCTAAAAAGACGTGGAAGTCACAAAGCAAAAAACCTTTTCCTCTCTCTGTGTTCTTTCCAGCAGAGTGACACAAGCTACTGGGAACTGTGGTAATCGTCACTGATATCTGAGGGATTCTGGAGGAAAGAGGCAACATAGTGGCTAAGGAAGAGGAGGATGAGTGTAAAATATTAGTAGTTTAGCTTAGAAAAAGCTGAACTTAGAGCATGAAATACCACCATCTAAAAGTCAGAAGGTTGCAAATTCCTCTGGAAATGAAGCATCTACAGGGACATAGTGTTGGAACTAGCAGGTACCCCTGTAAGTTTGTAAAACTGAGTAAAGAGCAGCACATCCAACAGGAAACTTGTCTGTCAGAGAGTAGCAATCCCACTGATCTGCGCTGGGCTTTCAACAGATCCTACCAAACACTGAACGCTCCCTTACTTAGGAGGGTTTGAACTGCAAAACAATTTCTGGATTCTCTGGCAAAAATAACCCGCAGGTCAGATGAAAAACAAGAAAATGACAAGACACTCCAGAGACAGAGTAAGAGCTGAAGCTTCTGTGGTCCTTTCATTTTGCAGCTGCTGCTTAAGCACACACTTGCTGCGTGCACACACTCTTGGAAATCTATACAGCAATATACACAAGGTTTAATCTTTTTGCCCATATCAGATACACCATATCTTAGTGGATTACGCTCTTATACACTATAAAGAGAAATACTGCTTTTAATATGTTTTTTTCCCAATTGTTTATGGAGGAATGTTTTCAGACAGAGACAGACATTCTATAAGGGAAGTAAGTTTATGGGTTTTGTATCTGTCTTAGGCTGAAGGTGGCAATGTTTCATACAGAAATCATCACCTTAAATGCATTTGAGACCCTGGTATAAGACTGAATAACATGGTTTTCCTTCAAAATGCAATTTGGTATTAAAATAAAAACCCCTACAGGTTCACACAAAATTCCTCTGACTGTATAAGAAGATCTCTGTGGGAAAGGAAATTAGTTTACAGATGCAAAGGCAACAGAAGTGAGCAAACCATCTTGCCAAAATCATTTTATTAACCAGTCCACTACATTGTCTCCTATCAAACTATAGATTCAAAGCAACACCTTAACCGACACATACACACTTCTGCAGAACCAATAGTTACTTAGATTTTGGTTACATCCAGGCAAGAATGTAAGTGCAGCGCGTAGAATAGGTGCATACCTTGACCAATAAGACAGCACACAAAACCACTGCTAAGTTCCAAAAAAAGACCTCTTTAAAAAAAAAATAAGTATAGCCTCACACTTCTGCAACAAAGTCCCCTGGACATTTTTCATGCCTTCTAACGCGAGGTTTCCCACATCACGCACATCCTGTAGTGCCGCCCTGTAAGTCTTTAAAATCCCCCAATCCTTACTTCGATCTCTTATGCTTCTCTGGAATCCGAGCTGTGAATCCTTGTTCAGTCCCATGCCCCACACTTTGGTGATGTCCGTGGTACGAGAGGACAGCAGCGTGAACCCATAACCGCAGGCAGCAGAGGATATCTTTGAAGATAAACAAAACCCCACACTATTCAGTTATAAACCATGGCTTAGTAAAACAGGTTTCACTCCAAGCTATTTGTTCATCAAGCATTCCTCCTTCATTAGGCTGTATCCAAACACAGCACAAATTCATGGTACATACGGTCTTTGCAAAAAATGATCAGAAAGGCTCTTCAGTGACAAGCACAACAGTTTAAACGCAAGCCCCACGTAACTGCCTTAGAGTTTTCTTATTGTGTGCATACATCTTTAGTTTTGCATTATTCTGGATTCATTCAAACACAACAAGAAGACCTATTTGTTGAACTGCAGCAGCAGTAGATTAAAAAAAACCCAACAATACACATATTCTCCTGTTTTACTCCTTTTGCCAAAAAAAAAAAAAAAGAAAAAAAAGCCGAGTATAAAAGCTCTGACCTTCTTTGAAGAGCATAGGGTGACGTTTGATACATGTAGACCGAATACCAACATGATTCACAACACAAGCTTCCAATCATGTCAAGGTGAAAGCAGCCACGAAAGCCACTGAAAATGAGGCCCTATTTCTCTGATAAATATTGTCCACAGTCTTGCTCTCTTATGGTTCTGACAAAAGAGCACCAATACGTATTTTCCAAATTGTATGCTACGGTAGTTGTACCAAAAATCATCCTGATGAATACCGCTATATCAATTTTAAAAATGAATTAATCACGGCAGTCTTTAAATCAGATTAGTTAACGCCTTTCAAAGCTGACAGAAGAAACCTGCCAAGATTAACTGCACGGGCACAGGAGGTGCGCCGGTGTTTGGGAAGCAACGCTATCGTTACCCTGTCGCGATACGACAGCCACCACCCCCGGGCCCACCTCCGTCCCCAGCCGGTAGGGCGTGGCTTGGATCCGCCGCGGCTTCTTCCAGCCCACGTCCGGCTTCACGAAGCTGGGCACGCCGAGGGCGCCCGAGTAGCAGAAGCCCCACACGAAGACGCGGTCCTTCCGCTTCGCCGCCTTCCCCGCGTACTGGAAGACCGGGGCGGCCTCCTCGGCCTCCCTCAGCTGGCGGACGCTCCGCGGGCCG